ATATATATATATATATATATGTATATATGTACTTTCTGGAAATATACTCAAGAATCACAACAATCTTTACCTCTGAAGAGGAATGGGAGATTTTACATACTCTATTTACTGTAAATATTTTATCATGAGCACATATTATTGCTATAGTTCTTTAAATCACATGTTATGCATAATACTTTACTTTGGATTGAGAGTATATATATACATATATACATATATGGAGCTCTGGTAGCGTAGTGGTTACAAATCGGGCTGCGAGCTGCAAGGTCAACAGTTCGAAACTACCAGCTGCTTTGCGGGAGAAAGATGAGGCTTTCTGCTCCCATAAAGATTTACAGCCTCGGAAACCCTGTGCAGGGTCGCTATGAGTCGGAACCGACTTCACGGCACATAACAACAACTATATATATACATATATATATAAAACAAAAAATATATTTCCACCTAGTAAGAGAGAATGAATACATTCATACTGTTGAATTATGAATTGTGACTGATTCTTAGCTTTAAAATAAGTATTATTATAAACCAGTTAATATAGCAAAAACATAATACACTCAAGTACCCCAACACACAAAAAAACTTGAAGCAGCATTCAATCAGTATAATGATTAAGAGCATGGGCTTTGAGTCTGACAGACCTGAGCGCAAATTGTAGGCCTACCCTTACGTCCTTAGGCAAACTAATAAACCTCTCTTTACCTCATTTTGTCAGCAGTTAAATGGGGATAACATCTATTTCATAAGGTGTTATAAGGCTTAATAATGTATATAAAGCACACTCAGTATAATGCCTAGTACAAGATAACTGTGTCAACCTGTGGTATCAGGAACAACATGGATAGATCTTAAAAACATTGTGCTAGATGAAAAAAGGCAAATACAAAAGACTACGTACATATTTTGTTGTTGTTAAGTTTCATCAAGTCGATTCCAACCCATAGCGATCCTGTATAGGGTTTCTGAGGAGCAGCTGGTGAGCTTGAACTGCCAACCTTGCAGTTCAAACGACTTTGCAGTCTGGCGCACTAAGCCACAGCGCCACACCAGGACTCCCATACATACATATAGTCTGATTCTATTTACTTGACATTCTAGAAGTAAAACTACAGGGGCAAAAATTACAGTGGTGCCAGAGATGGAGGCATAGACGATGACATGGAGAGATGGAGCGGCTGGGAGAAGGAGATGGGCTGTGTGTTGATGACCGGCGGGGAGATGGGGGCGAGGGGGGGGGAGATGGGGGCGAGGGCAGGCTTGTGAGGTATACTCTGATTGGTTGATGATGCATGGAGGGGATTGAAACCATGGCAATGTAATGATATACGACAGGATGAATGTAAAGCTAATGTTCTTCCCTGTAAACTATCACATAATTCACAACAAAACAGTTTAAAAAAAAAATCACATCAGGGGTAGGGAATTAACTAAAAGAACCACGAAAGTATTTTCTTTTCAAATACAGATACACCTTTACATTTCAAACTCCACCATTCTTGCAATATAAACAAATATAAAACATGATTTGCTAAGGTAACTACATGGTGGTACGTTAATAACCAAAATGCTCCCTGTTAACATTTGTTCAAGTTTTTTCACAAAATGATCTCATTTAATCCATGACTGACAGTTTATCTACGTCCAATAAATATTGAAATTATCAGTGTTGCTTTGAAAGACCTATTTTTAAAAGAGGGAAAGAAAAATCAAAAGGAAAACAACAACAAGGATACAGATTAAAAACAGAAGACACAAAATCTATTTTTCTAATTCTCAGTGACTATAACAAATCTGATCAGTAACAACATTAATAGTCTCTAAAGTCTTTTTCTACAGTTAGAAGCAGACCCAATGTATGCTGTCAAGTTCATTCTGACTCATAAACAACCCTACATGACAGAGTGGGTTTCCTGGGCTATAAACTTTATTATAATAAATCTTCACAGAAGAAGATTACCAGGTCTTTTCTCCCAATGCACAACTGGTAGGTTAAACCAGGAACATTTTGGTTAACAAAAGAGCACTTAATGACTGCACCACCAGGGCTGCTTCAAATCAGACCTAAATGTGCCCAAAGAAACTTGAAATTCTTTACTCTTAAAAACTACTGAAGTTGATGATGCACACAGGGGACTTAAAAGCTACTGAAGTTGATGCATGGAGGGGATTATAGCCATGGCAATGAAATGATATACAATAGGATGAATGTAAAGCTAATGTTCTCCCATGTAAACTATCGTATAATTCTCAATAAAAGAAAGAAAAAAAGCTAATGAGCAGCCATCTAAGATGCAACTATTGAAAAAAGAGTGACAGAAATTAAAGATGCTTGGAATCAACTAATCCGATGGACAAATGGAATATGTAAGCATCAGTCTGTTATTCTGAGATCAGAGGAAATAGACGGTGCACAGTTACGACTAACAGCTACTCTGAAATAGATCACGTTAGACGAGTTGTACTAGTCAGAAAAAGACTAGAGGAATCTGACATTGTGGCACTCAACTACCCTTAGGTCTGGAATGGAACTTAATCTCATGGCCCAATTTTTAGCCAAGCAGTAGATATATATGGAATGCAACAGCATTAGTAAGGTGTATTCACCATGGAATGGTGATACAAAACCATTTAAGATCAAAAGGGCAATATCTACCTAAGGATAAAGTACTGAACAGTTGGGAAGGAGGTTGAAATGGAATAAGAACCACAGGGAGAAAGTAGGGTAACAGTTGTTGTATGGGTGGGAGAGATAGCAGTCACTGAGCTGAAACAAAGTGTATAATTTATCAAATGTAAAACTGATGATCTTCCCTCTGTAAACCACTCTTCACTCAATTCACAGTAAAACGTTTAAAAAAACAACAAACTACTCAAGCTTTTCTGTCGCCAGGTGCCAGTTCTTCCTAGTCCTCCCTCCCTGTGGGGGGAATAATGGCCATTGCAGCCCAGACAGAGCTCTACTGTGGCGAGGAGTCAGGGAGCTATTCAGGCCACGCCTTTGAGCCAGCAGCCCTGATGAGTTCAGCCTCTCTCACAATTGGGGCACAGTCATCGTGGAGCACTGCTGGAAGGTGCCACTGGCCGGGGAGGGCAAGAAGACGTGATTGTACCGGCGACATCGCATCTACAAGCTGGTGGAGGACACAAAACACCAGCCCAAAGACAACCTGGAACTCATCCTTACGCAGTCTGTGGACAAACCTGGAGTCCGAGATGACCTGATTTCAGGAAACAAATCTGTGGGCCATAATCCCCGGAAAACATGAAGCTATTTGAAGAGAAGAAATTGCTGAGAAAAGCAGGAAAATTAAAGAGGATCCAGGCCCAGGCAGGTTCCGAGACAACAGTGAAATTTCTGAGGAGCTGTCACCTGGAAGTGAGGATGAAGAAGAACGTCAAATGGGAGCTAAACCCTGAAATAGTTGCCAGTCACTTCTTCAGGAACCTTGGTGTTGTGGTAGCTCCCCATACAGTAAAGTTGCCAGAAGAAGCCATCACATGAGGGGAAGGCTAACACTGGTGTGAGGTGACAGTAGTAAATGGACTTGACACTTGAGGGTGCCGATGTCTCTGGTGAATTTTGAGAGGCCGATGATCAAAAGATTCAAGTACTGGTTAGCCCAGCAGGCTGCCAGAGAAAAGGCCTCCAAAAGTTCACAAATACTCTGAGTAGCATAGTGATTACGAGTCAGGCTGCCAACCTCAAGGTCAGCAGTTCAAAACTACTAGTGGTTCCGCGAGGGAAAGATGAGGCATTCTGCTCCCGGAAAGATTTACAGTCTTGGAAACCCTGTGCAGGGTCACTATGAGTCAGAACCGACTCCACAGTACTTAACAAAAACACCACCACCCTTTCTCCAAAGCAGCCAAATGCCTTCAGGACCCCAGTGTTCTGCAAAGCAGAATCAGAGAAACAGTGCAATAGAGATAGGCCAACACCCTGATCTCACTCCCAGCTCTGACTGAATATAGAATTTTACAGTCCATATGTGGACAGCAGACTAAACTGTACATCCTTATTCACCATTTCCATCTTGGACTTTCTTCACATTCTTCTTTGTTGGGACAGTCCTGCTCAAAAAGTACCAAGCTGTAAGTTTGATAAGCTGGACATCAATGGACAGAAGCAGTCCACAGACTATCTAGCCTCTCCTCCAGTAGAACTCATTGGAACTAAAAAGAGCTAGCCGTTGTCTAGTATTTAGCTCATTCTCATCACACAAACCAAACATTTGTTTCTCAAAAGAAATAATAAAGAGATTATGTTCTTTGTTAAAAAAAAACAAAACAAAACTACTCAATATCAACAGGGAGAAAAAGATTTCAAATTATAAGAAAGATCATTTAGGGATTTATCAGGGGAGAACAAAATCAGATATATGCTATATAATAATTATTAAAATACTTATTTTTAAACTTCAATGTAGTTACGAAACATCTGACATGAAATATTGAGAGTAACTACAAACACATGAGAACATGTTTTTTAAGTGTTGATTTTTATAAAAACTTGAGGCATACATCAGTAGTATTTATAAAGTAATGTCAGTAGTGAATACCCTGTTTTCTTCCATCATGTGTCACATGTAAACTGTTCTTATATGGAGGACTTCTAAAAAAGGCTTAAAGTTTCACTCTAAGAATGAAAATCTGCATCTAAACCATCTTAAGTTTCAAAGATTAAAATCCATTTTTGAAAATAGAAGTACAATGTGAAATAATTCTCTAATAGAAACCTAATGTGGTTAAACAAATCTGAAAACTCATCTCAAATGATATGTTCATTGTAAGCATTAAATAAATAGTAGACCAAAACTTAAGATATCCAAAACCATGACGACTACTCAAGCAATTGGAAATGTCTGCCATGCTCTACCAGAGACCAAATTAATTAGAAGATCTCCAAGGAGTAGTCTGGTGATCTAGAGATCTGAGAGAATAGATGGTGAGTGGCCAAGATCTTTTCAACTATTCTTAAACAGACTTGACCATAATTTGGCTTTGCCAGGGTTAGTCCAGCCCAGGAGAAGACCCATCCTCAAGGTGTTTAAGAAAAAAATGGGCCTAAAGGTTCTGAATAATCTCTATTAGGTGACCATTCCAAGCCAGGGTCAAATTATACAGCAGCTTCTCATTCTAAATTCACCAGTAAAAAAACAGCTGAGCTCATCTCTTATGGCAAGCAGTGACTCATATAGTAAGTTTTAGCTGGAAGACTAAAAAAAATAAAAATAAAAATAAGATTTTGCAGTTACGATGTGATCGCAGGCTAAAAGTCTGTGTATATGTAATATAGAATGTGATGATTTTCTCTAGTCTTCTGTGCATGTCAAAGACTCATCCCCACAAAATTCATGCCTACAAAGGCCAGGAATAGTAAACGAAAGTATAATATATTACAATCTTTTTTTTTCTAAAACACGGAATGAAAAAGATAAGACTTCAGTCTAAAAAACAAATGTATGAGTCAGAACTTAACAAATAACAAAAATAAGTTATTTGATTTTAAAACTTTGCAAAAATATTACTAAGAGAAAACACTTACCATATGCCAGATTCTGATCAAAGTACTTTATCTACAGTAATTCATTTAATCCTCCCAATGGGGTAAATGTGGCTCCATTTCTTAAGTAAGTATGTAGTCGTTGTTAAGTGCTGTTGAGTCGGTTCTGACTCATAGTGACCCTGTACAGGGTTTCTGAGGCTGTAAATCTTTATGGGAGCAGAAAGCCTCATCTTTCTCCCATGGAACTGCTGGTAGTTTTGAACTACTGACTGTGAAATTAGCAGCCCGATTCATAGCCACCCTGTATATGGTTTCTGAGGCTATAAATCTAAGTATGCTGAGGCATAAAAGAGCTAAGTAACTAGCCAAGATCACACAACTAGTAACTGGTGGTCTGGGATCTGAACTTAGGCAGGATAGTTCTAAAGTCACTATGCTCTATCACCTCTCCTAATTTTGACTGGTTTAACAACAATCCTTCAGGCTTTTTATAAAGGATCACAGAGATATCAAAAGGATCCAAAGAATCAATGGAAGTCTTGTATACATTAATAAGATTTACCTCTTCAAAAATAGCTCTGGAAAAATCTCCACAACGTAATGTGCCATCATAGCTCAATGACAGTATGTGGGCAGAATTGGCAGGTGAAAAGTGAAGACAGCTAACTTGCTGACTATGGGGTTGAAAAACATACACCCCATATTCATTAGGTTGCTGGGTCTGGAAGAGAGTAGAGTTGGACAGAGACAAAAAATTGTGAAAAACCGTAAACTTTACTAATGTCATTAATACCATTAAACTATTTACATCTAGATTATGCAAGGACGCTTCAAAAAGTTCACCCAAATACGGGACTGAAAGATAATGGAAATTTTCAACAAAGTTATTGAAGGCCTCTCATATTCAGTCTCTTATCAGTCTGTAATTGTACCCATACTCTGATTCAGAAAGTCAGACTTCAAAACCTTATACTGTTATAAATTATTTTTTTTTATTTTCAATCCAATAATATTTAATCACATTTAAAACTTCACAGCTCTTTGCAACTAGCAGTTTTTTAATAACCTAGAGGGTGAAAAAAAAACAAAAGCAAAAACAAATGCTCATTTGAACTTTTGTTCATGAAAACCTCAGGAAATGAAAAATCTACTCGTTATTTCACACAGTATCATTCCTTACTACCAAAACCACTATCATCATACCTTTTGCTTTCTAAGTATACGTCTATACTAATATATCATTCGCAGCATAATTTTCACAAGGTAGTTTGTTGTAGTACAAAATGATAACTTCAAAAGCATTTTGTCCTCTAAATATATCCTGAAAAAGCATGTATCTTTATTTAACCAATTATTTAAATTAATATCAGCATTCAAAAGGAGCTCTGGTAGCGTAGTGGTTACGAATAGGGCTGCGAACCGCAAGGTCAGCAGTTCGAAACTACCAGCTGTTCTACAGGAGAAAGATGAGGCTTTCTGCTCCCATAAAGATTTACAGCCTCGGAAACCCTGTACAGGGTTGCTATGAGTCAGTCCTGATTCCACGGCACACGGCCACCACCACCACCATCAGCATTCAAAGGATTTTCCTTTCTAAAATTGGATTATTAACACCTTAGTGAAATAGAAGGTTAAAAAGTTAGGTCAGCAGTTCAAACTCACCAGCCAGTCCATGGGCACAAGAGACTGTCTGCCTCTATAAAAATTTACAGCCTTGGAAAGCCGAGAAAGCAGTTCTACTATGTCCTGTAGGATCACTATAAGTTGGACTTGATGGAAGTGGTTTGGTTTTGGGTAAGTCATTTTCAGATTTGAATGGATACATTCTTATGTGATATTTATAAATTAGGACAACTATTACCTCCAAATCCAGCTAAGTCTAAGTCTGTTCTGCAATACTTAAGAATCTTTGGTTTTTGAGGCTTTTTTTTTTTTTTAAATAAAGAGAAAAATTTTTTTAAAACCATGAGTCACTGGGCCTGGGGGTGCTCAGACCAGTCTCGGGGGACACCATGGTCAATTGACATAACATAGTCCGCAGAGATGTTCTACATACTACTTGGATGAATAGCATCAGGGGTCTTGAAAGTTCATGGGTGGTCATCTAAGATGCAGCTATTGGTCACTTCATGTGCAAAAGAAAGAAAAATGATAAGAATTAAAGAGGTGTGGAATCAATTAATCCACTGGACTTACAGAACATACGATCGATCATCAGTCTCTATGAATCTGAGACTAGAACCAGACAGTGCCTCGCTACCCCTACCAACTGCTCTGAAAGGGAACACAATAGGAGATCTGCCTAAAGTGGGATAAAATGTGGAACAAAATAATTAAAAATTGATTTTGAAATAAAGTGTAGTGGTTGCGAATCAGGCTGCGAATCTCAAAGTCAGCACTTCAAAACTACCAGCAGTTCCATGGGAGTATTCTGCTCCCGTAAAGATTTACAACCTCAGAAACCCTGTGCAGGGTCACTATGAGTCAGAACTGACTCCACAGTACTTAACAACAACAACAACAACATATTGGTCAGAAAGAGACTAGAGGAACCTGAGACTATGTCCTTTGATCACCCCTTCAGATCTGGAAAGGAACTCACCCTCAGGACCCAATTTTCAGCCAAAGAGTAGATAAGATTTATAGGGGTACCAACAACACTAGCAAAGTATGCTAACCATGGAACGATTAGGAAGGAGGATGGAATGCAGGTGTGAACCACAGGAAGGAAGTGGATAACTACTGTTACACAGACAGTATTGTAATCACTGAGATTAAACAAAGTGTATGATTTGTTCAATGTAAAGCTGATGTGAGGATCTTGTCTGTAAACCTTCACTCAGTTCACAATAAAAAGTTAAAAAAAAAAAAAAAAAAGCTCATAAGCAGCCACCTAAGGTGTAACTCCCAGTCTGTAGGGAAAAAGAGTGACGAAAATCAAAGATGCACAAAAATAATTTAATTAGTCCAAAGAACTAATGGGCCACATGAACATCAGACTCCATGCTGCTAAGACCAGAAGAACAAGATGGTGTCTGGCTATCTCTACCAACTGCAGTGAAAGGGATCACATTAGAAAGTCCTGGATAGAATGAAAGAAAAATGTGGACCAAAACTCAAAATCATTAAAAAGACTAGGCTTACGGGTTGGATAGACTGGTACAACTCCTGAGTCTACAGCCCTTGGTCATGCGCTTCAGGTCTATAACAGTAGATAGGTTTCAGATAAATAGATAAGACTATAAGGGGTACATGTTCAGTTCTGCAATTGGACATGGATACTCCTCCTTCAAGAGTCCCAAGTTCTCATAATCCTCAAGGTCATCTTAGTATTAGTTCTGCACTTAAACTCATTAAATAGCTCATTTGTTGTTAAATGCCATCCAGTCAGTTCTGATTCATAGTGACCTTGGATAGCACTTCTGATTCATAGTGACCTTGGATAGCACTTCCTGGTATGGAGCGGCTGGTGGTTTTGAACCGCTGACCTTGTAGTTCAAACAGATCTTGTGGTCTTCAACAACACTAGGACTTCAACACACAGTAAATTGAAATTCTTTCTAATTCCTAAAATTTATAAGCACAAAACCATAATTCTCAAACAATTATTTATAAACATGTGGCTCTAGTCTATTTTCTATTTCCTTCTAACTTATATAACTTGAAAAACTTAACAACTTACCAAATCCCAAAGTCCAACTTGACCAGATTTACTGCCAGCTGCCACCAAAATTCTAGTTTCTGATGGGTGGAGAGCCACAGAGAACACTGAATTTCTGGTAATTTTACAAACAGTATCTTCACTGATGACCATGCCACTTAAACTGGCTTTGTAGCTAAGAAAATAAAACAGCTAAATTTTAAAGGTAAACCAAAAACAGCAGTCAAAAATAAATAAAAGGCAACTTAAAAAGAATTACAACTAGTCAATAAACGTGGAAAAAATATTCAATCACCTGATAATCAAGGAAATCAAAAAAGGTACTATATTTTATCTTGCAAAATTTCCATTGATGATCTTAATAACACCACAAGCAAGTAGGCTTCAACTAAATGTATACACTCACACAAACACTGCTAGTGGCAGAGTTCACATAATATTTCATTTGTTGATGTCATCTTGTCTGTTACACACACACATACAACACAAAGTTATATAGGAAAAAACTCCAGGGAGATTAAGTAAACCCAGGAATACATACTCAATGGAAAACTATGCAATCATTCAATAATAGCTAGTACCATGCAACCACAATGTTAAATGAAAAAAGCATTATTTCTAAATTATATATACTTTAGAACTTAACAAAGTAAAAATCTATGTCACTCATCTAGTTTGTTGTTGTTGTTAGGTGCCATTGAGTCGGTACCGACTCACAGCTACCTTATGCACACTAAAAATAAACACTGCCCGATCCTGGGCCAACCTCACTACTGTTGCCACGCTTGAATCCATATAAGCTGCCACTTGGCCAATCCAACTCTTGGGGGTCTTCCTCTTTTTCTCTGACCCTCCACCTTACCAAACATAAAGTCCTTCTCCAGCGACTGCTGCCTCCTGTCAATATGTCGAAAGTATAAAACACAAAGTTTGGCCATCTTGACCTCCAAGGAGCACACTGGCTGCACTTCTTCCAAAACAGATCTATTGGTTCTTTTGGCAGTCCAAGGCACTTTCAATATTCTCCTCCAACACCATAACTCAAAAGCATCAATTCTTCTAGGGTCTTCCTTATTCACTGTCCAGCTTTCGCATGCATATGAGGTTACTGAAAATATCATGGCTTAGGTAAAGCACACCTTAGTACTCAACCTGACATCTTTGCTCTTCAACACATTAAAAAGGTCTTGTGCAGCACATTTGCCTAGTGCAATACATCGTTTGATTTCTTGACTGCTGCTTACATGAACATTGATGGTTGACCCAAGAAGAATGAAATCCTTGACAACTTCAATAATTTCTCCATTGATAAGTATTGTTTATTGGTCCAGTGGTAAGGATTTTTGTATTCTTTACATTGAGATATAATCCATACTGAAGGTTGTGTGCTCTTTGATCTTCATCAGCAAATGTTTTAAGTCCTCTTCACTTTCAGCAAGCAAGGTTGTATCATCTGCATAGCGCAGGTTGTTATTGAGACTTCCTCCAATCCTGATGGCACTTTTCTTCATAGAACCCAGCTTCTCGGATTATTTGCACAGCATACAGGTTGAATAAGTATGGTGAAAGAATACAACCTTGTCACACACCTTTCTTTCTTTTTTTTTTTTTAAATCATTTATTGTGAATTATGTGATAGTTTACATGGAAGAATATTACTTTTTCATTCATTCCATCGTATATCGTCTCATTGCCATGGTTACAACCCCCTCCATACAATCCTTCCTCCGTGCCCCTCAGTCTTCAGCACACAGTCACTCTCCCTCTCTGGATCTAAAGTCTCCAGCTGCTCCATCGCTCCACATCATCATCTTTGGCTCCATTTCAGGCATTATTGCTTCTCTGGGTAGGGTCCTGCTCTCTGCTCCTCTCCCTTGACGGTCCCAAGGACCTCCGCTCCTAGACTGAAAAGTTAATCACTCCCCTCCTTACTATAAAATGTCTACCTTTACATTTCCAACCCTCACAGTCAGTCCTGATAACACTTATTCACTATTGTATCACAAGAGACCTATCTGGATTTCATTGCATCAGATTGAATACTACTCACTGGAGATTCTACCTTTCTCCAGGCCCTCTGGTTCTAGGTTCCCTCTTGAAAGCTTGTAAGCCAGTCAATTCTTGCCTTTGTAGCTCCCCACCCCCCTTTTTGGGTAGCCAGTGTCCAAGTTGCTCATCCCTGTCCACTCTGTGTGTAGAAGGGGTGGGAATGATTCTTGTTACAAGGGCCCACTCCCTCTTTTGAGCTACTGCTTCCATAGGTGTGGGTCAAGTTCATCAAATTGTATGAGCATGCTTTTTTTTTTTTTTCTTTTCCCTCTTCGTTTTACTTCTGGTTGAGCTCTGATCATCCAGTCATTGAAGCCAGGACAAGTAGGTATCATCTGCAAGTCACACACCTTTCTTAATTTTAAACCATTCAGTTTTCCCATGTTCTGTTCAAACAACTGCCTCTTGGTCCAGGTACAGATTCCTCATGAGCACAATTAAGTGTTCCGGAATACTCATACTTCGCAATGTTGTCCATAACTTGTCATGATCCACACAATAAAAAGCCTTTGCATAGTCAATAAAGCACAGGTAAACACCTTTCTGGGATTCTCTGTTTTCAGCCACAATCCATAGGACATCAGCAATGATATCCCTCCTTCCACAGCCTCTTCTGAATCCGACTTGAAAGTATGGAAGTTCTCTATCAATGTATGCTTGCAGCCATTTCTGTATTACCTTTAGTAAAACTTTACTCGCATGGGATATCAAGAGATTGTCCAATGATTTCCAAATTCCGTTGGGTCACCTCTCTTTGGAATGGGCACAAATGCGGATTTCTTCCAATCAGTTGGCCAGATAGCTGTCTTCCCAATTTCTTGGCAGAAATGAGTAAGTGCCTTCTGTGCCGCCTTACTTTCTTGAAAGATTTCAATTTTCATTCCATCAATTCCTGGTGCCTTGTTCTTTGCCAATACCTTCAATGCACCTTGGACTTCCTCCTTCATTATCATTGGCTCTTGATCATATGCTACGTCTTGAAATGTCTGAACATTAACCACTACCTTTTGGAACAGTGACTCTTGGTATTCCTTCTATCTTCTCTTGATGCTTTCTGCATCATTCCATAATTTGCCCAAAGAATTTTTCAAAAACGAAAGTTGAGGCTTGAATTTTTTCTTCAGTTCCCCCAACTTGAGAAATGCTGAGCATGTTCTTCATTTTTGGTTTTCTGATTCCAGATCTTTGCACATTTTGTTGTAATATTAGGCTTTATCTTCTTGTGCTGATCTTAGAATTTTCTGTTCCGCTCTTGTATCTCATTTCTTCCATTTGCTTTAGCATCTCTACGCTGGAGAGCCAGTTTCAGTGTCTCTTCTGATATCCATTTTGTTGTTTTCCTTCTTTCTTGTCTTCTCAATGACTTTTTGCTTTCTTCATGTATGATGTTCTTGATGTCATCACACAACTCTTCTGGTCTTCGTTCTTTAGTGTTTAATGTATCAAATCTGTTCTTCAGATGATGTCTAAATACAGGTGAGATATATTCAAGGCCATATTTTGGCTCTCGTGGACTGGTTTTCATTTTCTTTAGCTTAAGTTTGAATTTGCATATGAATAATTGATGGTCTGTTCCACAGTCGGTCCCTGGCCTTGATTTCACTGATGATATGGAGTTTTTCCATCATCTCTTTCCGCAGATATAGTCAATTTGATTTCTATGTATTCCATCTGGTGAGGTCTTTTGTGTATAGTTGTATGTTATGCAGTTTAAAGAAGGCATTTGAAATGAACAAATCATTGGTTTTGTAGAAGAATTCTATCATGTGTTCTCCAGCATCATTTCTATTACCAAGACTGTATTTTCCAACTATTGATCCTTCCTCTTTGCTTCCAACCTTTGCATTCCAATCACCAGTAATGATCAATAATACATCTTGACTGCATGTTTGAGCAATTTCAGATTGAAGGAATTGGTAGAATTCTTCAATTTCATCACTAGTTTTAGTGGTTGGTGTGTTAATTTTGCATAATAGTGTATTAACTGGACTTCCCTGTAGGCGCATGAATATTGTCCTATCACAGACAGCATTGTAGCTTATGATTGATCTGGATATGCTCGTTTTGATAATGAATGCAACACCATTCCTCTTCAATTTGTCATTTCTAGCATAATAAACCATGTGGTCTCCAGATTCAAAATGGCCAATACCAGTCAATTTCAGCTCACTAATGCCTAAGATATTGATGTTTATGCATTCCATTTCATTTTTGACATCTTCCAATTTTTCCATATTCATACTTCATACATTCCTTGTTCTGATTTTCAGTGGATGTTTAATTATAGCTATTTTTCTTTATTTTGAGTTGTTCCCCATTAGCAAATGAAGATTTCGCAGGCTTTTCTCCCATGGGCTTTACTCTATTCAAGCCATCATGGTCAACTCTACTTTGAGGAGGCAGCTCTTTCCCCGTCACATTTTGAGTGCCTTCCAATCTGAGGGGCTCATTTTCCGGCATTATATCTGACAGTGTTTATCTGCTATTCATAAGGGCTTCAGTGACTAAATATTCAGAAGTAGTTCATCACTCCTTCCTAGTCTGTCTTCGTCTGGAAGCTCATCTGAAACCTGTCCACCATGGGTGACCCTGCTGGTATTCAAAATATCGGTGGCATAGCTTTCAGAATTACAGCAACTCACAATCCACTACAGTACGACATACTTATCTAGTTAGCTAACATTTAATGAAGACATATGCTACGTACTGTTCTGGTTATTTAGACAAAATCTCTGCACTCATGAAGCTTATATCCTAGTAGTATTATATATGGAAACACTTACAAACAAAACCAACCATTTGACTAGAAACATTACGGGTAATTTTTATTCAAAATTCATATTCTTTTCACTCAAAGATCTCAGAAAACTTAAAATAAAGGCAAGAAATTTAGATTACCTTTCAAGGCTAGATGATTCCTTCTTAGTGGTCTTACTACTTGTCTGAAACATTGGGAAAGATCAAGGATCAAGTTAATATATGTATTGAAATTTCCCTGAACCGATATTCAAAAGGATGTAGGCCCTTCCAAGTGATACCTTGCTCATTTCTGCCCATGTCTGTATAAATCCTTTAAACAGTTCATTGTCATCATCGTTGTCATCATCTTGATTTTCAGGAATCATTTCTAAAGGCCCAGGAGGTAATAAAGGCTGTTAAAAAAATAAAATGTAATTTAACAGAATCCTTCAATAAGCTGTCTACAAAAGACATACCACAAAAATGGAGACAAGCTAAATGCCCATCAACTGAAGACTGGCTAAACAAATTATGGTACATACACACAATGAAATACTACAAAAACTTTGAAGAATAAGGATGAATCTATGAAACACGTCACAAATAACATGGCTGAACCTGGAGGACATTACGCTGAGTGAAATTAGTCAATCACAAAAGGACATATATTGTCCTTTTGAGGTCAAGGTTTCAAAAAGTTAAAATAAAAGGTTTTCTTGGTTAAAGAAACAATCTATGATGGTTGGGATGAGTGAAAAAGAAAATTATTCATGGCTAGAGAGTAGACACATGTTAACATGGGTGACAGGGCAGGCAATATACAAGGGGGAGTTTAGTAGAGGAAAGATGAAGGTAGTGGGAGATACAAGGAGGAATGCACCAGTTAAAGTGAACAGAGGTAAATGCTGCTAACTATTGGTACATGTTCACTATTGGGAGAGTTCACTATTGATGTGTTTAATGTAAATCTGATAGGCTCTGTAAAATTTCATTCAACTCATAATAAAACAATTTTTAATGTTTTATTTTGAATTATGTGATAGTTTACATGGGAGAACATTAGCTGTACATTCATCCTATCGTATATCGTTTCACTGCCATGGTTACAATCCCCTCTATGCATCATCAAACAACCAAAGGGTATATATACCCTGGCAAACAAAAGCTCAGAAAAGTTAAATAATTTACTCATGTTCCCATAGCAGGTAAGCCCTAACGAAATACAAAATCCAACCCATGGTGACTATGAAATTCATATTCTTACTTAAACCACACAATATTCAAATTTTAAATTAATGAAAAACAATAAAACCACAATTTAATGAAACTTTAATCTAGCTTAAAATACATCAAAACTTTTTCCAGTATTTTGTTACGTTAATATATTGTATTTGCATGTTTTTCTTACATTTTCATCTGCTTCTAATGCTGGCTGGATTGGATCTGCTGGTAATGGGACTCCAAAAGGGTCTACTTTTAGTAACCGCATTGACCTTCTACAGCCAATCTCATTTTCTCTCTTCTTAGGTTTCTTTCTAAAGGAAGGAGAAGAGAAAAACCATACTCGTATAAACAGTTATCCATATTTACTAACAGTGAGGAGATAACTTCCAAGATGTATCTCAAAAGTATATATGCACACAGTCACGCTAATTTTAATAAAAAGTCTGCCTGGAACCAGCCTAAGTGTTCACCGTGGGGAGGTAAAGGTGTTAAATAAATTATGGCCTACAAAAATGACAGAAT